ATAGCTTTTGATCTTGGCATATTAGAGTGCAACTGGCTAAACACATAAAAGCACTTGGACTTTTTTTTTTTTTAAAATAAAACCCCATGTATTATTTAGTAACTGTCACTATGGGCCTGGCTGCAGATTGCCATAAAAACTTTTCTTCCTATTTTTTTAAAGGAATAGACAAACCACAGACAATCCTCCACCCTTTGATGACATGCAGATCAAAAAGACATATTCCTCTTCTGCCTTTCTCTAGGAGAACCTCCATTTAAAGCCAATCCGATTCCAGATTCAAATTTATTTATCTTAAACTAATTTTGGAACAGCCAGAACTGTAAACAGATGTAGTCTAGTTTTTAGCTTCAGGATCCAGCTTTCAAAGAATATGAGCAGCCACAGCCCTTAACTTCAGTGGACACTGGAGCACTGTGTCCCAGTTAGGCTAGGCCATCCAGGTTGCTGCCATGTTGTGTGCTAATTTGGTTCATTCCTCGTACAATTTCAAAGTTCAAAGAGTAAATCTACATTTTTTCAAAGCTAATAATTAAAAGACATGTCTGACTCATGCACTGACAAATTCCAACAGCTGCTCCTTCTATACACAAACTTGATTCACTAAGTTGTGATTTTTTTTTTTTTTTTTAACAACGTATTACAGTGGTGATAGCTGAGTGGCTGTCTGTGACTGACACATACAGTTCTGAGCAAACTAGAGCCAACAGATTTCTAACTTGCTATTGCCAATTGCCATCAACCAACAGCAATGGAAAGGTCCACTGGCAATTAAAAAATAAAAATATTCCCCTGCTTCAAGTGTAATGGTCATTTTGAGTAATTTTTATTTTCAAGGAGAGAGACATCAGGCTCGTTTTATTTTTCACCTGTTCCCTGTCACCCATTTACCTTTAAAGACTCATCTTACACAGAAAGGAGAAAATCAGGAAAATAATCCAAGCCTACCAGCCCTATTCAAGTCAACGAGAGTCTGGCTCCTTGTGTCATCATGGAGACTCTTTCCACTGTCTTGCTCCAGCTGAATTTGTTTAATCCTCACAGTTTTGGTCACCATCTGGCTCATTTTGTTGTCTATGCAGAGACTGTATGACAGACTTCCATTCACCGCAATAGGAACTCTTTGCTGAGTAATTTGATAGCCAGCCTGTCAACAAAATTAGCTTTATACTCAAATAAAACATTCACTTTTCAGAAAGCAGCAGCATGGCCAAACGCAGATATTGTAGACAAAGAACAAAGCTGAAAATGCAAGATCTTCCATAGTGATCTATATAAGAGGATAGAACACATGCATATGTAAATTCAGAAGTTATTTTGCTTAGCTGGAAAGGAAGCAAGCTAGAAGATGGGTCTAAAATTCAACATAGCTGTGAGAAGCCAGAGGTCTGGAAAAAAATAAGACCACTCCTCCATACAGGCAAGTATAAGATATAATAACAATGCAGAAATAATCAATAATCAACTGCACAACCACTTGCCAAGGATGACATCAATTTCACTGATACTGCCTTGCGGCAGGAAATGAACTAGAAGAAGTTATTCCATGCCTGTGGTTCCGTGATCATGTTGAATCTTGTCTGAAGCCAGTTACCATACCTCCATCCACGAGCTGGGACTATCACTCATCCTCCCATGAGGCTGAATATCCCTCTTTGCCTGTTCAGAACTTTACGCATTAGAGGGGAGGAGAGGGAGAAGGATGGGTGGAAATCAAGAAAATGAGAAAGCTCAATTTCATTAATGTAGCAATTTAAAATATCGACACTGCAACCCCACATAAGGCACACAGCTGATAAATGCCACCTTATGCCTGGGACTCCACTCAAAGGGGAAACTGACAGCCAAAGAAGGGCCGCCAGTGACAAGGTATTGGAATAACTGCGATGATGTAAAAATACAGAAGTGAATCAATTACTCTGTTGAGGCAGGGTCCCCATCTCTTCCTCCTTCCTAGCCTGCTCATGCCCCCAGTGGTGAGAATTAAAAAAAGAAGCCTGCCAGATTTTACTGAATTGGGGGGACCATTTGCATATTTTCCAGGGAGGATGAGCTTCATCTAAAATGTAGAGATGGTGGCAATGCATTGGAATGAAGAACAATGGTCTGGCCCTGCAAACAGCTTGATTTATGTACGCAATGAAGTGCATGACCTTCTAGCCATAATCACTGTAAGAAAAATAGAATAACTGACTCTATGCAGCCTATGCGAATCACACAGCTCTTCCCACCTCCTAAAATTTCTCATTAAAATTATTTTTTTTAAAGCCTGAAATAGTGAGTGACAATAAATAACAAGAATCCCATTTCCCATCCAAAGCCCCATTTTCAGGAGTAACAATAATCCCATTGTCAAATGACCCTAAGAGCTGGATTTATTTTATCTGTTCTGTACAGCTCATTAGCCTAAACTCTGCATCTTATTACAAGGTTCCTGACTAGAGTGTTTCACTATGAAATGCAGGTCGGGCAGTTTACTGTCAGTGCTTAAACTGCAGAATTCAGCCAGTAGAAATCCAGAATTACATGTTTCAAGCTAATAAAGTGTGTCAGCATCTCTTTGACCAAATTTCCATGCTTATCTGAACAGAGGATCCTGTAACTCATGTCTGCAGACAACGGCAGCCCACTTGGTGCTGTACGCACCTTCTTGCACCTCACTCTTCTCCTCTAAACACATGGATGCGGCTTCTTTCCTATGATAACATTCTTGCATATAGCTTCTCTGCAGTAGACTGATAGCAGCAGATGTCACAAGGACATGAAAGATTGTTTTCCATTTAACAGCAGAAGCACCAAAGGTGGCTTGCAAACAAGTCTGTGATGTTTTTGGCATTTATGACGTATAAAGGAATTTTGAAAGTAATGTTTATTTCCTGCTATTTCACTTTTTTCTCCATCAGGTCTGGAAATAGGCTTTAAGATAGTTTTCCAAGTAAAAAAAAAAAAAGTATTAGCAATTCAAACTGCTAAGTTTGTGCTTCACATTCCCAGTAGCTCAACACAGAGCCCCCAGCAAAAGAGTCTCTTAATAGCTCACAAATATTAGCAAAGTTATCCCCAGAAACCAAATCAGTAACTACATCAACTTCACTGAAAAGCCACAAGTTCCCAACATAGAAGAAAACAGAACAGAAATCTCTTCTGAGATCCAGGTCTCCAGTGGACATCTATAACATAATTCTCTTTCTAACGTGGGAAGCAATTGTATTTGAGTATGTTTTGTGTAACTTCACAATATTTCCAATGCCTGAACAAAAGAGAGGGAGATAAAGTAGTTTGGTTAATAATACAGCACCTCTACACATTAATTTGGGACCTGAGAAATCTCCCATTCTGTTTCTCTGGATGTCCAGGATACCCCACCTAAGATAACATGCCTGATCTTTCTCAGATAAAATAGAAATAGACTCTTTTCTTTTAATGCAGTCATCAGATCTTCACCCCAAAATCAAAGGAAGTAAAACTAGCGTACTCCATTTGACAGATTAATGTTAAACTGAACGTTCAGAACAAATAAGCTGACAGGAAAAACAGAAGTTTAAAATTAGAAAGGTTTAATTTCATTAAAATAGGAAAAAAGGCTCAAATACTGCTGTATCCTGCTGCAATTACAGAAGTCAGGTTCCTATATGATTTCAATATTTCTACACCCATATCAAGTGCAATAAAATGCATCTGACTTCCAGTGACACCTTCTACCAAATATGAAAGCTACCAACAAACCATACCGCAAAGACTGAATTTCTCTTTTTTTTTTAAACTGATTTTTAAAACTAAGAAAGTTTTAAATATTTTTAGGTCCCTAAGCACACACAAAAAAGACACTATTATGTTTATACCAGTGGAACCTGTGTTTGTTATACATTCACTTTAAATGAAGGACTATTACCAGACTGCTTTTACCCTAACAGACAATTAGTACTAAACGCCAGGAATGGAGAACTTAAGGGGCAACGCAGCTCCAGCTCCCAACTCAATTACATTAAGCTACTGGAATCATGCAGCTAAGCAAGGAGTCAGCAATCAGAGCAATCATATTCAATCAGTGAGCACCAGGGTACAGCTGTCTCTTCATCAGGGCACAGCGCAGCGTCCTGTGGGGGTGAGCAGAACACAGACTGAAAACAGAAAAAGCATCTCTTCACTCATCCCTTATTGCCATCCCTACTCCAGACTTGTCCTTTCCTATAGACAAAAAGGGACCAGCTATACTGCATACTTACAGGCAGATCTGCATAGAAATAGTGTTTTCTGTCAAACAAGGACTTCTTGTTTATGCTGCAGTTGAGTGCCAGGGCCGTCATCACTGCTGCTTCTACACATCTCCTGTTGAGAACCTAAGGAAACATGACACATGGTTTTGCTCAGATACTCGGTATGTAACAAGCATCTCTCCCACACATTGCCTTATATGGAGCATATATTCAATCTTTCTTTCTTTCAGCCACCATTATATCGCTTTTCTTGTGTGGGTAGTTCTTATTCATCATTAAAGTCATGGTAGCTACAAATCTGCAAAGCTTTAAGATGAAAAAAGAACCCATTCAGTCATTTTGTCATGCCACATAAGGAGGTGTGCACTGTTTTGGCTTGCTACTTTGCAAACCTCCCAGTACTCTTGCACCCTTGAACATTCAAAAGGCAAATCACAGCAAATGATAACTGACTCGTAACCAGCTGTCAGCTTGATACCGGGAACTGGAAACACAGGGGATTTGCATTAGGGACTGCAGTGCCATTTCAGTAAACACTTCAGAACACCTCTAACCACAGAACCACAGCAAATTCACGAATATGTACACATAGATTTCAATGCTTTGCTTAACCAGGATGACATTAAGCACACTTACATGCTTTGCTAAAACAGAACCAAAGAGACATCTATTGATCCCATGGCTACAAGTATACACGCACTTCCAGTACCCAAGTAACCCATAGGACTAAGGTTCTTGCAGAATGCCATGTGGTCTGAAGACCCAGCAAGGCCTTCAGGAAGAAATAAAGGAATTAAATGTGGTTTCTCACCATGGACCCATCACTCTTAGTGCTACACCCTTCAATCCCTTCAGCAGGGTCAGAGTCCAGAGGAGAAAGAAAATTCCACTCCAAAAAGTTTCAAAGTTATGTTTTTTTCCAAATGTGCTCTCATTAATTTAACAGTTCGTTTAACAAACATCAAAGGGATAAAAGTGAAAAGAAAAAAAGACTGAATTTGTCTTGGTACAATTCTGACATGCTCACTCTTACAGTATTTTGAAATAGGAACAGAACTTTGTCCATCTTAGTCTGCATTGTACAGCTGCCAAGAAGTCAATTTCCAGCAGGACCATTAAAGGGGCACATTATGTAAAAGAATCTACATGACTTCATCTGCATTGACCAGAACATAAAAGGTTTAAATAACATTTTCTTCAATGTTTCTGACAGCATTTACTTTTTATATTCTCCAGCCTGATTTCTGAAAACAGAGTAAACAGCTGTACATTTCCCAGCATCCCATGTCTTCAGCTGGAAAAGGAATCTCTGCTTTACTCATCTAATATTTCAAAAATAAAAATAATAAGAGAAAATATGAGACACTCTTCATGTAACAGAAACTTAAAAATTGCTTATACAGACAAGAAATTAAATATTTAAGACATTTGATGAGAGAACTTTCAGATCTTTAGAGTAGCTATATATATGGCTAACTAGAACACATCATCTGTTCGGGCATATTTTATTTATTAAAAAATTTAAAAGATACATAAAGCAAATTTTAAATGAGGAGAAAAAGAAGAATTTCCCTTTGAAATACTGATCTGCAGCAAAATGAATGCAATTAGCCCTGACTGTAATCTAAAGTAAAATTGGTAACTACAAAATATTAATTTATTTTAGTATTATCGCTGCAGTTCATTAGATAGTAGATGCTCCTGTTTTCAACCATTAAATGCTTCCAGACAGTACGGATTTTTTTTTTTTACTGTTTAAGGAAGCTTTTAGCAGCACTAGTTAAATTGTTCAATGTTTTAGGTATCATAGTATTTCTATACAGGCAAAATTTCCTCCTTCCTTATGGCATGATCCTGTTCAGCTTTATAAATGAGGGAGGACCATGCCAGTCAGCCCTTTAACAACTGGTCATCAGAAACCATTACGGCTCCATAAGGACTGGATAGACTCAAAACACCACTGCACCAAAGCAGTGAAATTGGTGTCTCACTACATTTCCTGATGGTGCAGGGGTTGTGACTGATTGTAATCAGAGAATGAGACAAAATCCAACTCCTGAGTCACAGTCAGTTAGAGCCTCATAGCACGCTCTTCAAACACAGGTGGAATTTAGCTGATGATTACACTACAACTACTGCCTTTGCTCTTCAATTTTCACTTCAAACAAGGTAGAGTGTAGCTCACTCATCACCCTAAGGGATAACACTGTTTTGAGGTGAAGGAAATAGTTCCAACATACGTATTACTTACACCAGTGAGAAGCTTTTGCACAACTGCTAAGGAACTATTTTGCTGGCTCTGGGGAAAAATTGGCATAAAAATGTGAAGTGTTGATTATTTTCTATGTAATATTACTAAGCATTTAGATGACTGTAATGTGTATGTGTCCCCAGCGTACTGGGTCATACTAGCCAAATCATTGTATATGCAGCATTACTCATTCACTAGCACCACTCCCTGTTCTACCTCTTGATCAACCCTGTGGTGATAGAAGACATTGCAGAGCAGATCTTTCTGGATGTGGAATACTGAGATGTCTACCATGCCAATCTGCTGCTTCTGTCCTGTTAGACTCTAAAAAAAACCACAACCAGATGACCCTCTACTTCCTCAAAAATCAAAACTTACCTGTTTAATACTGCTCCATTGCTGATCCATCCCAGTGATCAAGGCTGTGCGCGTAAAGCAGAGCTGTTTAAGCAAACTACTACTTTTCCTTCAAACAAGCCTAGCTTTTAAAATAATCTGCAGTGATAATCCTCAATTCAGTATGTGAAACTTCACATACTAATGACCTAGAGTAAATCCCCCAAGCTTGTTTATGCAGTAAGCTGTTATTAAGTTGACAGCTTTGACTAGCACCAAAGATTTAAATTACTGGCTTGAACTGACAAGCTGCCAGTCTGGTATGTTAGCAAAGTGCTGGCCTTGAAAGAAAGCTATATAGTTCCTGCAATAGCTATGGACAAAACACAAGAGACTATAAAGCCTTCTTAAATATTTCTGGTCTTCTAAAACGGAAGCATCTCTCCTAGGTATGTATTTAAAGAAATTCCCAGAGAGCTATCACAAAAGGAAATGTAAATTATTTGCATTGGAAACTCATGAAAAACCTTAACAATGGCATCACAACACCAGCACCTTGTCCCTTGTAGCTATGCTATCCTGCTAGAGCACCATGGTAACTGAGCACTAAAAGAATGAAAGAACAACCCAACCAAGATTTTTCTTTTTCTGATACTCGTCTATCCTTTACATCTAGTTCACAAGTGGAAAGACTCCTTTTAACAATTTATCATCTTTATTTGCAAGGTCAGTTTAGTCAAGACCTTGGTTTTAAATACAAGACTATTCAATAGCTATACAGAACTATACACAATACCTTCAATAGAATGAATTCCCACCACAAGCAATTTTTAAACAGCTTTTTCTTTAACAGCAGGTTTACTCCTTATATTAATACATTAAAGAAAGCTGGCCCCCTTTTAGGTGAAGATATATATTTCTATATTTAGTAAATGATCATTTTTACATTTTAAAGAGAGCAGCTTCTTGTTTTGCTAACAAGTATTATATACGATAAGTGGGGAGAGGGAAAAGAAAAAACATCTAGATCTCTCTCCTGGAAGAAGTTTATTTTTGCTACCTTAAAAAAAAATATATATATCTTTGCCATAACAGTAGCACCCAGGAAGCCTAAGTTACAGAACAAAGTATTCCTTGTACTAAACACAGTAAAATCAAAATAATGAATTGAAAATTTTAAAAGTTTTTGATTCTAGGTCACACATTTTAATAAAGTAGATCTCATATTAATTGGCTATCTTAAGATCTTCACTCCTACTTATAATTATGAAGAAATCAGCATTAATCAGATTTACTACAGGATGGTTTAGCTAAGAAACATTTAATTTTAGCTCCTTTTCATTCAAAATAACAGCTGGAGGAAGGAAGTAGTGCAACGCACTTAGCCAGCTCTCTGTAGACCAGGAAGTAATCTTTAGAAACCTCAACAGACATATCTAATCATATTTCCCAGCTGTCCTGGTTTTGGCTGGGTCAGGGTTAATTTTCTTCACAGCAGCTAGTACGGGGCTATGGTTTGGATTTGTGCTGGAAACAGTGTTGATAATACAAGGGATGTTTTCGTTCTTGCTGAGCAGTGCTTGCACCAAGTGAAGGCCTTTTGTGCTGCTCACCCCACCCCACCAGCGAGTAGGCTGGGGGTGCACAAGGAGTTGGGAGGGGACACAGCCCAGACAGCTGACCCCAACTGACCCCAGGGATATTCCACACCATATGATGTCATGCCCAGTATATAAAGCTGGGGGAAGAAAGGGGGGGGAACATTCGGAGCAATGACGTTTGTCTTCCAAATAACTGTTACACGTGACGGAGCCCTGCTTCCCTGGGGATGGCTGAACACTTGTCTGCCGATGGGAAATGGAGAATGAATTCCTTATTTTGCTTTCCTAGCGTGTGCAGCTTTTCCTTTACCTATAAAGTGTCTTTATCTCAATGCACAAGTTTTCTCACTTCTTCGCTCTTTTTTCCCCCCACCGTGGGGGAGTAAGCGAGCAGCTATGTGGTGCTTAGTTGTCAGGTGGTGTTAAACCATGACACCAGTACTCCCATTTCATATCACTCTTGATTTTTATTTGCTTCCAACTAATGGATAAATTGTTTCACTATTCTTGCTGTGTTAAAAGTACCAAGTTGCTCCAATATATGTTTCTTTGAAGCGGAATCATAAGTTAAACTTCGAAATAAACTATTCATATCTACTTAGTCCAAATGTAATTGCAACTGTTCAGTCTGACACTGCAGATGAGAACTTCAACGCAGTGTTCTTCCTTGGCATCCTCACACACACACACACACAGAAGGGCATAACCGTCTTATAGCTAGCTATGCTTGTACATAACGTACATTACAATAAATGAAGAGCTAATAATTTCCCAGATGACCCATTTATTTCACTAGGTCTACAGTCAGACACCATCCCTCTAAGTATAGAGTAAAAATTTAAAAAACAAGCCAACGTAAGTCTTGTCATTTGTCTGGTCTGCAAAAAGCCCACATGTTCCAAAACCTGAGGTCTCTAACTGCAGGACAAATTTAA